TTTTGTTCTTGACTCTGCATGGTCTATACAATCTCTGTACACTGGAAGACTTTTATATCTCTTGGATATCCTTCACTGATGTTTTTTCTGCTGGACCAGTCTGTCAGTCCATTACCTTGTTTGAAGCACCATTCATTACCTGAATTTCTTTCACATTGTACCTCTTGCCTGCTGATTTCAGTAGTAGCCTCATAACATCATTTGGGGCACCTTTAATCTCATGAATTCCCACGTGGACCATGGCTGTTCTGTTGAAATAGGTATTTTCTTTTTTGCAGAGTCCTGGCTTTCTGACCAGAATAACTTCTTCACCGTGAGGTCATCCCACCTCAATGCTCGCTTTCATGCAGCCAAATGCAGCCCATCTGTGTAAGCTAATTGTTATTTTTAACCCGCTAATCCACCAGTGCTAAAGTATGTAAACTGCTTACTGCAACTTGTAGATCAGTTTGAAAGTCTTCACTTGCCCTTTCTTGTTTTCTTACTGGTGAAGCCAACGTGGTCACATCTTCAGTCATGCTCCTTGAGGACTGTTACTGACTTACCTCTGTAACTGATATAGATTGTTCTTCTTTGGAAGACAACAAAGAGAAATGTTTCTCATGAACTTCTGTTGTCTTGTCATCTGACATTAATTCAAATCTGTTACTACAATCTGTTCACCAGGCTGTGCCTGAGCAATTTTAGTTAAAGATTGATCATGGAGCTCAAGTCGGTTGTACTGCTCATTCTTTTTCTCCTCATCTGCACCTTCTTGCAGGCACTGCTAGTTTTTGTCTTCTGGATTTTCTACAATGATAGTAGGAGTAGAAAACATTACTGCCAAGCCTATATAGTTGCGGATTCCCACCCTGTTGATGATAATGAAACAATTCTTGCTTTCTAAAATTGAATTTAATGAGGTTTATTGTCACTTCTTCTCAGAAGTTCAGTGAAAATTTTGCAAGTCACCACTTACGCTGCCATCTTAGGTACAAAGCTACCCAGGTACAGAACCTTGGTACAAAGCAGAAAAATAAAGAAAATGAAGTTTAAAAAGTTAAACATTACAGTCCATCTTACTAAAGAGCAGAAAAACAAAGAAACAACAGTTATCAATTCAAAACCACAGTTAATACACGCCTAACCATGCTGGGCTTGTACTCCTCACAAGGGCTGAACCTCCCTGCTCAGACTCCACCTCGCTCCCACTGCCACCCTGGGCTGCTTGCTCTTGCTGCCTTGTAGCCTGTTCCTGTTCCCACTCTCACCGCTGGCTGCCTTGGGCTATCTGCTCCCGGGCTCGCCACTGGCCACCTGGGGCTATCTGCTCCCGCTCTTGCTGCTGGCCTCCTGGGGCCATCTGCTCCTGGTCACACCGCTGGCCACCTGGGGCCATCTGCTCCCACGGTAGTCACCAGCTGCCTTGGGCTGGCTGATCACAGTGGAGTCTATCTTTGTTTTGAGTTCCACCAGGAGTCTAGGAAGCCCAAAGAAATGTCTAATCCATTACCCCATGGCTGATTGTTTGACAAATATTTGTTCCTGTATCCGTTTTCTGACTGGCTTGTCTTTAGACTAACTTGGCAAAGGTTTGACTTTCAATCTGTTCACTGTTAGTTATGATGAGTTAAACTCCTCCTACTTCTTCAGGAATGTTGAGAACAATACATTCTCTCTTCCTATGTAGATAATTTATTAATTACAGCAACACTGTTTAATTGTCATTGTTGTAGAAAATTTTAATTCTGTAATATAGCAATGCTGTATCTCAGTACTGCTTCCTGGGGTTTTTCCCATGTCTTACAGTCCAAATGGAGTTTTCCTGTTTCCTGTGACCAAGATTGAGATGTCTTCCATCTTCAGGCAAAATTTCCCACCTTTCACAGCCTAATAAGTAAAGTTCGTCCATTTCCACAGTCTTCCCAATTAAAGTCTGTGGTATTTGCAGAGTTAACAAAAATTTCTCCTACTTGAACGGTGGTTTAAATTATGGATCTTCTCTTATTGCAGCTTTATCAATCTTCTTACTGCCTTCTTCAATTGGACTGCAAGTAGTCCTGTTTAATGTTTCACCTTTTCAGTGTGTTCTGAAACATTAATGTAAAGTTTTCCTATTGCCCAACAGGGATTTTTTAACTTGCCTAATGGAGCTTTGATGCTTGTTCACTTCCTGTTCAAACTCGAATCTGAACTAATGCTTCAGATCCCCAAGTCACAATGGAATCTGTAACTGACAGATGTGACTAGCGACTAATTAACACTTGCTTCTGCACTTCTCTTACCAGGTCTGAAATGAAAGGCTTTACTGTTAAGTGTTGTTTCCCCTTTGGCAACATTTGCACAAATTCCTCTCTCAGGCTGTTTCACTGCTCTGCAGCTGCCAACTATATCTTTGAATAGTTCTTTAAAGTTGAAAAGTCTTTAAAGTTGAAAATGGAAATGGCATCTGGGTTTGCCGGAATTTGTTGTGTACAACTTAATCAAATTCCTACCTTCACTGCTGTCTTCCATTTAAATGTGTTGTAATGTCAACAACGACCAGCTTGTGGTTGCGATGGTTTGCTGCCACCTTCCACTTTCCTTGATTGGGTTGAGGGGTCTTCAGGGTTTACAGTGGTAGAGGAATACCATTAGTAAATCTTAACAAGAAGAAGGTCAAAGTCTTAAACAAGGTATAACTTTATTGCGTGCTAGCAATCAGCACCAAATTACATCAGTACATTAGATCTTGTTAATAACTAAGATTGTAAGGAGATCTAGGAGATAAGTCTTCATTCAGTAAGATTCAAGAACTCTCTTGACTTTTCCCCACCCCAAGACCTTATGACATGACCAGATCAGTTGGAATTAATGCAGCCCCCAACATTAACCTTTTTAGAGCCATTACCTTATAATGTGCCATTTGTCTCAAGCACTCGCTGTGCTGGCCAGTTTCAGATCCCACCCCTCTGAGTGAAGGGTTTTCCCACTGCTTTGCCTATCCAGTTTATTATTAATCATCTTGTATTGTTATTGACAAGACCTCTGGTGAGCTTCTCTAATTCACCATGGTTCTTGATGGATGTCCCAAAGTGTTAAGCTCCCAGCTGAGAAGTGATGAAATGGCTCCCCTTCCCTATTCACTTACCCATTTGGTTGTTTGCAAAAGGTTATTTGATCAGCAACTTTATTGTCACATATATCTTGAAGAATTTGAAATGGATCCCTTCACTTATGAAAACTATTGCCAGAAGCAGATGAACTTACTTTTTAAAATGAGCCAATTTAAACAGGATTTCTTGAATTAATGAATACAGAGAATTTATTAAATACTAAATATGAGAAGTATTATTAATATAGCGCACATACACACAAATTAGAAATGCTGCGAGTCCTAAAAGATGATAAATTCAAAAATACAGGCACGCAGATCAGTCTCTGAATTATTTGTGAGGAGTGGATAGTGAAATGTTGCAGCATTTACAATGAGGTTGCCAGTAACATTGACTTTGGGAGTCAACAGTCACTTATTTGAGATTCTTAGTTTCATTGGCTGATGAAGATCTATTTCTGATCTTTGTTAAAAAACTGGTTTTGCAGTACTCGGAATGAAAGAGTATTTTTCTTTTTCTGCAACACAGGCGTATCTAATGGACAGGTTTTCAACTGTGACTTTGACAGCACAGTAATGCTCCAATCCAGGTTGCTACTCGTGAAAGTGTTCAGTCCCACAACTCTGCTCCAGTAGAGTTGAAACTGGCTTTATATTCCCTGTTCCCTTCTGTATTCCTGGAGGATAAAATGGATAGCATGAGGTGACTTTCTGCCAAGAGTGGAGAGATAGTCAGCCCCTCATTATCTCTTGTTGTTAAGTCTCGCCCTGTCTGAAGTTTCCTGGATAATATACATGTCTGAAATTCATTGGCTTCACAAGGACTTTTCCAGTGAGAGATAGGAAGAACTACCGATGCTGGAGTCAGAGATAACACAGTGTGCAGCTGGAGGAACACAGCAGGCCAGGCAGCATCGGAGGAGCAGTAAGGCTGATGTTTCGGGTCGGGACCCTTCTTCAGAAATTTTCCAGTTACTGAATTTAAATCCGCAATTTTTCTGCAGCTATCCTCCTTTTTAAGAACAGCATGTTATTGATCTTAGAAGTAAAAAATGGCTATAAGTATGTTGGGGCTGTGATCCATTGTCACAACAGTGCTTGTGGCCCTTATTTTGGTCTCTCGCACATGCATGCTTTATCAAAGAAGAAAAGAAGAAGGAAAGAGTGGTACTAGAGCTGTGAAGTGACAAAGAAACAGCTGGAGGGTTAGCTGGAGGTATTGCAAGTACTGTCTGTCCAGACTGTCCTGAATGGATGGGTGGCTGTAGAGCCATTGGTAGTTGTGAGACAGCAAGCTAGGTGCTGGGATGGGGATTGATAGTAGCAACGCAAAAAATAAGGAGGGGTTGGGTTGATGTATTTTGTAAATGTATAATGAGATTGATTCACACAGGTTGGCTTTTATCATTTCTTATGCTCAAAATCGACCTTCATTTTACCTTGGAGAAAGGGACATGTGAAGTAATTGACTCAATGTGATGGAAAAAAAAGTTATTGTTCATTTATTTATGAAGCTGAGAATCATAAGAACAGGAGGAAGCCATTCATCCCTTGGACCTATTCCACCATTCAGTTAGATTATGGCTGATCCATGAATTTACCTCAACCTAGCTGCCTTGATTTTGTAACCTGTAAATAATTAATTAATCTTGTAATTCCCTCTCAAAATGAAAATCTATCAAACTTTCATTTGACATTTCATTTTTGCTTCCGCCCCAACAGCTGTTTTTATGTAAAGTACTTAATTTCCATTCTCCTTTTGTGTGACAAACTGCTTCCTGACTGTTCCACGGCTATATCATCCACGTGAAGCTACTAGTTTGCACTTTTTGAAGAGGCAGCACAGGCAAGAGCTGAATGGTCTCCCTCTGTGCTGCATAATGACTCTTGTTTAAAATAAATGTAATTTGTTGTTTCTTTCCTCCAGCGTTGGACAAGCTCAGCACCCAACACCTGTACCATCCAACGCAGGTGGAGATTGTTCAGTCCAATGTGGTGTTTGACATCAGCAGCCTGATGTTGTACGGGACACAGGCAGTCCCAGTGCGCCTCAAAATCCTTCTTGACCGTCTCTTCAGTGTATTGAAACAGGAGGAGGTGCTTCAGATCCTGCACGGCCTGGGCTGGACTCTCCGAGACTATGTCCGTGGATACATCCTTCAGGTAGGAACTAGCATGAAGTGTGAAAAAGAGGGTCACTCTGAGAACCCTGAACACCTGGTGAGGGTGGTTATCCATGTTGCAGTACCTGGATACCAGCCTGATTTCTGCAGCAGTATTGTAGACTTGAATCTGCACATTACTGTGCACAGCTCATATTGTAGCAGCCAACAACTAGGGATAGTTGCCTTGAAGGTTAAGCCACAGCCTCTGTATTTTGTTCGAAGTAAAACAATTAAAAAGGACATAAAACCAGTTCACCATATTGATGGTAGTCAATGGGCTGGTTTATATGCTCCTTCATATCACTTGGTGCTGTGCCTCAGACTTACTGCTAGCTGGACTAGGACACGCAACTGCCTGACTCGTAACCAAGAACAAACTTTGTCAGTCACTTGCAAAAGAATTAATATAATCAGAGAGTGACATCAGAGAAGATTTATTAGGCTGATGGTGCCCACATTCTCGGTCTTTAATGGGATCTGCTATGTTTTTGATATAGGAGTGCCTGTGCATCTTAACCAACTGAGGGGATCATATTGGGATCACCTGTGGTCGAAAGAAGGCTCAAAGTTGAAATTCTTTTCCATTGAATCTTTTCTCGTACAGTCACTTCAGCGGGGGTTGGGGATTGAGGGGTGGCGAAGGAAGGTTGCTCATGAGGGGAATCAGCATTCTCTTTTGAGAACCTTTTGATTCACTCCCCAACTGGACTGTTTCCATTGAACTTCTCAGCTCAAACAATTGTGTGCGCTTGAGACCTGCAGCAGTTAGGCACTGCCAGGCTAATGAAAGGACCCAGCAATCTTTTGGCTGGGTAGACAACAGGGGGATGGGCAGAGGCACCTCAGTAATTACTTTCAGACTGATTTTAGAGTCCATAATTTCTAAATTCATGGCAGATTTCTCTATGTCTAGAGGCTCATTCACCTATTGTCCTCAACAGATCTTGTCTGAAAATCTCCGTATAATTTGCATGACAACTAATGTCGTTTTGGAATATTTTCAGGAAAATTAGATATTGATTTAACAATGGCTTTTACTTTTAGGAAGTTCAGTGTAAACTTACATTTGGCTGATCAAATGGGTTTCAGCTTTGGTTGTGTGCAAGTCTCACTGGTAAATAATAAAACTTATCAACATGAACATATTATCTGGAACTGATTCGCCTATTAAGGTTTGCACTGTTGGGGAAAAGCAATCCGTTCCAAGCAGTTTACAGTCCTGTCTGTTTCTGTATTTCTTCAATAACCAACACTCTGTATGAATTTTTTTTTTCTTCAACATAGTGTTCCTGCTTTCTGTTTTTGTGTTTATTTTGTAACTGAGTTGAGGCAATAATGTGAATTGACCTGCTGAATCACATCACTTAAATGGAAACCAGTCCTAATCCAAAATATGCGTGGTAGTGTATTTGTGAGGGTGAAGTGAGTTGCTGCACATCTCTGCAGCATTCCTAAAGTCACAAAACTGTTCGGAATTTCGTGGTTACAGGCAAAAATTGCCTGTATAGAAACATGTGGGACAAATTGGAATTTCCAAGATGGTGGAACAAATATAAAATGCTTGGAATCACAGAGAATGGTTGTCTGCACATGCCAGTTATCATTTTCGGAGCATGCTTCAGAAATCTTTCCCTGTTTGTGACAATCGTTGTGGTAGATTTACATTTAAACTTTCATCATGGACCATCACGGAAGTCAACTGAACTGTTTCTCATTTTCTTTCCATTAGGATCACATGATCTTATAAGGCCCATACGACTGTGTAATATGCATTTTAAGAATTAATTTTATACTATAACACATTTTGCTTCATATTCTTGTTTTGATTGAAGCATGAAAGGTGGTTTGATTTTATACTAGATTAAAGCAGTGAAAATACAACTCTAAGGTAGTTTCACATTTGAGGCAGTTTAGGATTTCCCACCCAAGTTGCATTCTAGGCTACATATACGTTTTGGCTTTACACCAATGTTGCACATTTCTGTTGTGAGAAACCATCACTAGTTTTGCATTGATATGTTGCGATATCAGAGATTTGATGAGCAATAGTTTTACACTGTTTTACATAGCCAGTAGAGACCAATAATATTTATCAAGATATTTGAATTTCTGCTACAATCTTTATACAAAACAATTCTTTGTTGCTCCCACTTTTAATAGGTTCACATCTCCCAGCTTTGCTGATTTGTAACCATTGAAAAATGCTTCCCTACAATTCCTGAAATAGCAGCATTAAGGCCCACTTTGGTGACTTCTCCACCTGGAATTGCTAGCGCAGATTTCTGAATTCTGTATAATGTCACAGGGTATGTGACAGAGAACATTCTGCCCAATATCTCATGGAGGACTTGTGGCCTTCTCACTGCTGACCAGACCAAATGCAATATTTTACCTCTGTCAAATGTCTCTCTCATTCTTTGTGCAAAGACTTGAAGATTGAGAGTCGGTCAACAATCAGCCCAGTTTGCTAGTGGTTTCAGAACATTTTGCACCTTACTCCTTCATAAATCTCAAAACCTGGGCCTCCTGTCCCCATGGTAACGTAACTACTCAGAATTGTTGTCAGGCAGAGTTCAAAGCAGATCATATGCTCTTCTTCATTCATCCATTTTACTTTGAATTAAAGAGACAGTCCAAAACTTAACTACCTCAAAAAAAACTCTTTCATAATATTGTTTCAGGCTGATTGAGTAATATAGTGGATCAAATACAAACTCCGAGTAGTAAGCAAATTGAAATATTTTATTCCTGACATTAAAAATAAGTCTCCAATAACTTAAGGAATTAGATTTTGCAGGAAGGGATGTAGGTTGGAGGGGCGTAGGAGGTGGTGCGAGTTGGAGGGGTGCAGGAGGAGGTGCGGGTTGGAGGAGCACATGCGGGCTTGTATTTTGTCCAGCTTATTGTTATGAAGAGAGGTTGAAACAGAGGTGATAAGTGATCTGTTCCAAGCCAATAAAGTAAACAGCTTATCTGCTCCTTGGAGTTTGTTTTTAAAGTTGGAACAGTAGAAACAGCATGAATGGTGAGGTCAGGCTCCTACAGATCAGGGTTTTAGTTTAGTTTTCAGTAGTTATTGGGATTTTGAAGCTTCTGTACATCTCTCTCTGCTATAGAAAAATGCTTGCTTGCGTTCTCTCTCTCTGCCAGAATTTACTCTTGATGTTCTTTCCTCCTGGACTAGCAAAATGTTGCTTGTGAGACAATCTATTTTACTGAATTTGCCTTTGTCAAGGGTGTGTTTAATGGATGTAACTATATTGGAACAGTTGCTGTTTAGTAGTTAAATAATCTATTATTCTGTTAAACTTAGACCAATTCTTTTTTCCTTTGCTTATATTTTAACTATAAAGTTAAGAATAAAGTGTGCTTTGCTTAAAGCCGAATAGCGTAAGCAAAAAATTATATCTGGAACACAGCACCTCAGACTTGCCTTTAAAAAAGAAGAAGTTAGGGTCAGGCTATCTCCTTGATATATTTGAAGGGTGTTTAGTCTGGTCCATGACACACTGCAGTTCAGTTGCTATCTTGAGCATGGATACCTGGTTATTTAAGTCAATAGAGGATTTTGTTGCTGCAACCTTTTAAGGAAAAGCATTAGATGCCTCGAGGGGAAGATTATGTTTTCTTCTTGGGAATTAATTAAAATTGTTTAGATGAAGAATATCCACTTATTTTCATCCTTCCAGAATATGGACTTGCCATCTTTCTGGTACGTTATTGTCATTCTCTACCAACTTCTTATTCAAATAGAATTTACAACACAGAAGTAGACCATTTGACAGAACACCTATCTGCTTAATATTCAATTTTGATAGCTTTTCATTTCATAATTGTACAAAATGCTCTCCATCCTACCCATGGCGCTTAAAACCATTCAGTGTGCTTTGTATTTGTTTTGTATTTATCCAGGTTCCCTTTAAATGTACCTATGTTCTCTTGTCAACCACTCCCTGTAGTAGTGTATTCTCTATTGTCATTCTTAAGATAAAGAGCCTTATCCTAAATTTCCTGTTTGATTTATTAGTGACCATCTTATATTTATGGTGCACAGTTTGGTTCCTTCCCCACCCACCAAGTGGAAACATTTTCTGTGCTTTACTCTATCGAACCATTTCGTAATTTCAAGGATCTCTATCAAGTCACATCTCAGTCTTCTCTTTTCAAACAAAAATAGCCCTCACCTGTTTGATCTTTCCTGATGGGTGTAACGTGTTATCATTGTGAATCATTTTTTGCACCTTCCCTGTGTCTTCCACCATGTTTTGAGTCATTGGTGACGTAAAACAGATTCTCATTTTATAATTGCACAAAACTCTCTGCATCTTTTCCATGGTATTCAAAATAATTCAGTGTAAGTCATATTTGTATTGTACCTGTTACAAATAAAAGGATTCTCAGGGTCAGCATGATACTTATCTATTAACCAACATCCTACATTTTATTATAGGAGCCACTGATCTTTATGTTGTCTGCACTCATCTAAAGTTTTTCCAATTTCTCCCTTTGCAGAAACATTTAAAATAAATGGGTAAAATTATCTGCTTAAATAACAGAGGGAGAAAGTTCAGATATTAAGCAGTCTGGTAGTGAAGTGTACGGTGGAATTGCTAAATCCATTTTAGTTAGTATCAAGCAGTGGGAGTGATCAACCCTAATACAAGGACAGCATCCATTTATTATTCATTGGTATAACCTTTGAATGTTTACTATTCATGTTATTGCACTTTGGGTGTTTGCTATTTATTCATGCCTCGCTCATATTATGACCCATTATTTTCTGTCTAACTCAACTCAGTGCAGTGTTAATCATTTGTTATGTTACCTTCTCACTCCAATTATATCATTCCCTGTAGGATGTGGATAATCTTTGGTATTTTCCTACAGCACAGAGATATGAATCTCAATCGCTTTCCTAAATCATGAGATTTTGATTCTTGAGCTATTTATCTATAATTATTGACCATGCGGTTCCTATGGGTGAGGAAGGAAAGCAAA